ATAAAAGGTTCCATGTCAATGCTAATACTTTACAAAAGCATTTTAAAATAACTAAGAAACAAGCTAGACAAATAATAAAACAATGTCAAAATTGTGTGACCTTTTTACCACAAGTTAATCTTGGAGTCAATCCTAGAGGATTGATACCTAACCATATTTGGCAGATGGATGTCACACACTTGCCAGAATTTGGAAAATTAAAATATTTGCATGTTATAGTTGATACTTCCTCTGGATTTTTGATAGGCTCCCTTCATGCCGGAGAAGAAACTAAAGATGTTATAGCTCATTGCTTACAAAATTTTGCCACTGTGGGCGTTCCAAAACAGTTAAAAATAGATAATGCCCCTGGTTATACTTCTACCTCTTTTAAACAATTTTGCTCATCATTTGGCATTACTCATATAACAGGAATCCCATACAATCCACAGGGAAAAGGCATAGTTGAAAGAGCTCATCAAACTATTAAAATGTACTTATTAAAGCAAAAAGACGGAATTGGGAAGGGGTATATATTCCCCAAAGATAAACTTATAATAACCCTTTTTACTCTAAACTTTTAAAATTTGGATTCATCAGGACTTAGTGCTGCAGAAAGGCATATGTGTCCAAAAAATGTACGTAAGCCCAAGGTACTTTGGAAAGATATTCTAACAGGACAATGGAAAGGTCCTGACCCAGTAATTGTCTGGAGTCGGGGGTCTGTTTGTGTGTTTCCACAGGAAGAACAGCAGCCGATTTGGATTCCAGAGAGATTAACCAAGGTCCTGACCCAGTGATTGTCTGGAGTCGGGGGCCTGTTTTTGTGTTTCCACAGGGAGAACAGCAGCCGATTTGGATTCCAGAGAGATTAACTAAAGTGATTTCTACAGACCAAAAAGAAGATGATTTGGCTCAAATTCATAACAGCTGATATCCAAAACTCCAGTTTGGTTATTCTTACATCTGCAACAGAACCAGGATGCTTTTTTCAATATCTATTTTATTATTGCCCTTTCCCATATCATGAAGTTCTATTTTGTTTTTTGAGCTCATACAGACCTAGGTTAATATTTTACTGATCAGTTCTATTTTTTGACTATACAGTTTTTAAACATTGCAATGGAGATTTCACCTGTAAAAAGTTATAAGGCCTTTACTATTATGTTATGTGTTGTATGTATTATATTATGTGTGCACAGTTGTGTTTTGTGTTATATGTTTGAATGTACGTATGTCCATATATCATATATGATGAGTGCTCATGAAAAAATGGATCCAAATATTTTTTTTTAATTCACGTGATTTAAGTGGTTTAATTTAAATTGGGTCAATAACTGTTAAGGATTGTTTTAATATGTAAAGAAAAAAGGAGTTTAACAGATCTGTTTGTTTACTTTCACCTTTCCTTTTCATTATATTTAATAATTCTCTTCAAGATAATGTAAATTGTTAAGAAAATTGTTTTCCTTTAGTGCCTTCTGGAATGTTACACAATTTTATCTTTAGCCATTATTGCCAGAATTCCTATCTTCATCCCAGTGCCGGTGAAGACAAAGATAAAACTAATCTACAGCTTCTGCAATAGCCATCACTGAACTGCTTGCAGAACTTGCCTAGACTATGTGTCACTTGTATGCATTGTGAACTCACTTGTATGCATTGTGAACTATCTGTTGATGCAGCGACTTGTGGTAGTGTTGAGGTATTTTTGCTGATGATGTCATCGGTGGTACAATTTTTCCAACAAGAGCCATCAATTGGCTTGGTGTATCTTCCTCCCTTCTGCTTGTCATGATCATTCAGCTAA